CTGAGGCAGAAGGATTGCTTGAGCCCAGGAGTTTGAGGTTGCCATGAGCTAGGCTAACGCCACAGCACTCACTCTAGCCCGGGCAACAAAGCAACATTCTGTCTCAAAAAAAAAAAAAGGAGAATAGTCTCCTTTAATGGGATGGTGGTTCTGTGGATGCAGAGAAGTGTGGTATCATTGAAAGCAATAAGATTATTTCGAGAATAAAAAAGGATCACACAGTGAGAATGAAGGAGTGGAGAATATCCTTTAAGTTTTAGATGTTTTGAAGCCATTGGTGGTTTAAAGTGCTTCTTCAGATTGAATAAGAGTTAGCGAATGGATAGGAGCTGGAGAAGTAGAGACAGGTAGTGTAGACATACCAAGAAATCACAAGAAGAGAGAAGTAGAAACTATTTAGCTTCTTTTCATAAATAGCTCAAATTTGGAGCACATATTGAAGAGTACTTTACAAAAAATGCTTAGAACATTACTTGGCACGTGGTAATTAATCTATTAGGTGTTAAAGAATTTGGGTTTAGGTGGTCACTGTCATACGTGTTAATAATAATAATAATAATAATAGTTATAGTAATAAAGGTCCTCCAAAAGCTCATGAGTAAGAGCTGATGAACTCGATTTCATTTCATGGTGGTCTGATAGAGTTATCATTTTCACTTGTTGGTTTATTAGTTTTCCATGCTAAGACCAATAGTGAGATGATAAGACTTAGAATCTGGCCGGTGCAGGAGCTTATGCCTGTAATCCCTGCATTTTGGGAGGCCAGGGTAGGAGGATCACTTGAGGCTAGCAGGACCGCATCTCTACAAAAAATAAAAATTAGCCAGGTGTGGTGGCAGCTACTTGGGAGGCTGAGGGAGATGGGAGGATCACTTGAATCTAGGAGTTTAAGGTTGCAATGAGCTAAAATCATCTACTGCACTCCAGCCTGGGTGACAGAGCAAGACCGTCTTCAAAGAAAAAAAAAGACTTAGAATCTGGAATCAGATTGTGTGAGTTTGCATTTTGCTCTGTTAACTAGCTATTTGATTTTGGGTAAGTTTCTTAGACTCTAAGCTTCATTGTCTCTTCAGTGCCTGGCACATATTAATAGATCTTAAAATATTTGTTGAATTATTTTTTAAAAAGAATTTGAGAAAAATTTCTACAGAAAAATTGATATTACAGCCAGTTACTACTTGTGCTTCCCATTTATTGATTTTGCTTATTACTTTGTTCTTCAAACCTATTCTGCACTTTTCCTCACACTAAGAAAGGTGCCACTTACTATCTATATTTTGATTTTATGTACTACCTTATTTACCCAAATAGGTTTTAGTCTTTGTTATAGTTTTCAAAGCAACTAGCATTATGCTAGATAAATTGTAAGCCCCTACTAATTGTTGGGTTTGTTTAAAGGTGGAGCATTTATTAAAAGGTTTAAAAAGAATTTATGTCAGTGATGACATTCAGCTTATTGAGTGCTTTGCCTTCTACAGCCTTCTGTTCACGTTGGCAAAATTGATGTAATAGAAATATGGATTTTTTTTTAATTTGAGGATTTCATTTTCTTGCAGTTCTACGTAAACTATATATGTTTCCTTTCTGTTACTTAAAAACTTAAGTGTGCTTTATATTCTAGGTCCGGTTTATCACTAAAATATGGCATCCTAATATTAGTTCCGTCACAGGGGCTATTTGTTTGGATATCCTGAAAGATCAATGGTAAGAGATTTTGAATTCACCTTCTCTCCAAGATTATAAGAATGTTAAGTGTCTGATTGCCTCAGAACATATATTATACTTTATCTTATTTGGGCAGTAACTTTATAAAATCCTTTAAGTATATAATTGAAAATATGTTATAATTGAGATCACAATCTATGTTTAAATAGAGACTTGTTAGATAATGTCAGATTCTAGCTTTACATTTAGAAAAGTCTTGGATTTCATTTGTTATTTTGGTAAATTTGATTCTTTGCTATCTCAGAAAGATATTTGTGAAAGATTTAAAAAAGTAAGTATTGAAGTAGTCATCTCCCACTTAGATGTAATGTAAGCAACAAAATTGTTAGAAGTTGTGTTAATTGAGCAGTTAAGGTTCTCAGTTTCCAACAAGGAGAGTCTTTGTAGGTGATAAGTTCATTTGCATAGTAGCACTTTATCGTACTTTCACTTGGTTTGTCTGATTTGATCTTAGCAGCATAGTGTTTTAAGATTCCTACTCTGGGCTGGGCGCGGTGGCTCACGCCTGTAATCCTGGCACTCTGGGAGGCCGATGCGGGCGCATTGTTTGAGCTCAGGAGTTCGAAACCAGCCTGAGCAAGAGCGAGACCCCGTCTTATGCTCATTCCCAGACAACTTAAGTAGTTCTTTCTGGATAGCCTGGATCTTTGTGCTTTAGAATGCCTCAGGGATAATTCTTGGATCTCTGCTCCTTTCTATCTACACTCACTTCCTAGGTGACCTCATCTGACTTCATAACTTCACCATTATATGCTTCATATGCACAGATTTATCCTTCCTGAACTTCATACTCCTGCTGCCTGCTTATCATCTGTACTTGAATATGTAATGAACATCTCAAATATTTCTCAAAAACAGAACTGATAACTCTCCTAACCTAAAACCAGCATCTTCATATAGTCTTCTCTTTCCATGTTACTGGCACCTGTGTCCTTGAATTTGTTCTGGCAAAAACCACATCATGATACTCTGTACCCTGTCTACAAATCTGTTGGTGAAACCTACAAAATCTTATGAGCGGCTTTACTACCACCCTGGTCCAAACACATTACCTCTTGCCTGGATGATTGCATTAGCCTGCCTCCCTGCTTCTGACTTTGCCCTACTCAGGCTGTTCTCAACAGCTAGAATGAAACCTTAAAAACAAAGCTTGCAGACTAAAACTTCCCACTGACCTCTCTTGTTGCTCAAAGTTAAACCAACAGTACTATTACCTCTAATTATCTCCCTATAGCTAGTTCAAAGATTATTGTGTGTATATATAGGGAGAGAACTGGAATTTTTATACCAAAACATTTTTTAAATCAACCATTCCATTTCCTAAGGCAGATGAATAGTCTTGTTTCATATCTGTACGATTGAAGTATTTAAAAATATCAGGGAAGAGGTTGGTAGGGGGATGAAGGATCAAAAAATTATCTCTGGGGTACAACCTCTGGGTACACTAAAGCCCTGACTTCACCACTATACAAATCATCCATGTAACAAAAAACCACTTGTACCCCCTCAATCTATTGAAATAATAAAAAAAAAGATACTGAAAACTATCAAAGACACATCAGATAAAGTAGGTGAGATCGGATATTCATGGAGTCATCTCTCCCTCCCACCAGCTTTACTGAAGTATAATTGACACTTAGTGGATATCCACGTTTAAATGTTTAGCCTTCAGAACTGGAATTTGACATAGAGGAAAATATAGGCTAGTAATCTTAGGGAAAATGAATTGCATAAATATTGAATAATTTGGGGCAAGTATGCTACAAAATAATTGCTTAATCTTGGTGGTTTTGTTTAGGTTTTTTTGAGATAGTCCTACTCTGTCACATAGGCTACAGTGCTGTGGCTTCAGCCAAGCTTGCAATAACTTCAAATTCCTGGGCTCAAGCAATCCTTCTTACTCAGCCTCCCCAGTAGCTGGGACTGTAGGTGTGCACTACCAAACCTGGCTTATTTTTTTTCTACTTTTAGTAGAGATGGGGGTCTTGCTCTTGCTCAGGCTGTTCTTAAACTCCTGACCTCAAGCAATCCTCCCGCCTTGGCCTCCTAGAGTGCTATGATTACAGGCATGAGCCACTGCACCTGGCCTAATCTTGGTGTTTTATATTAATGCATGTAGGGGTGGTGATTTACCATTATTAACGTTTAACAACTTATTTTAATTTGGTTTATCTCTTAACTCCACAACTACCCTATGGAAACTATTTTCTGATGTATTTCCACTGACTGAAGGTGTCTGTTTGCCTGGGGAAGAAAATGACAACATGTAAAAATTTCATTCAATGATACTGTCCTTCCAAGAGACACATATAGGCACTAGAGAATATCTAGATGGCCAATAAACTATGCTCAGCATGATTAGTCACCAGGGAAAGGCAGATTAAAATCACAATTAGATACCACTGCATACCTGTAAAGATACACTCCTCATGCATTGCTAGTAAGTATATATATAGCTCAATGACTTAAAACCAGTAATATCTACCAAAGCTCAACATACATCTTCAGTATGGCCTAGCAGCTTCACTCCTAGGAATATATCCAAGAGAAATGAATGCCTGTTTTCATCTTTTAAAGAACTTGTGTAAAGGCCAGGTGCCATGGCTCACACATGTAATCTCAGCGCTTTGGGAGGCTGAGGCAGGAGAATAGCTTAAGGCCAGTTCAAGACCAGCCTCGGCAACATAGTGAGACCCCATCTCTATAAAAATAAAAATTTAAAAAATTAGCCAGGCATGGTAGCACATGCCTGTAGTCCTAGATATGAGAGGCTGGAAATGCTCTATATATTGATAGAGTGGTGGTGACGTGAGTATATACATATGTAAAAATTCATCCAGCTATACAGCGTCTTACTCTGTTTATACTTCAGTAAAAAATTACGATAGTTGGTACAATGGCGCAGGCCTGTAGTCCCTGCTCTGGCGGCTAAGGCAGGAGGATAGCTTGAGCCCAGGACTTCTGGGCTATGGTGCACTGTGCCAGTTGGGTGTCTGCACTAAGTTTGCCGTCAATGTGGTGACCTCCCAGGCGCAGTGGACCACCAAGTTGCCTAAGGAGGGGTGAACTGGCCCACATCAGAAACGGAGCCGGTCAAAATTCCCATGCTGATCAGTAGTGGGATTATGCCTGTGACTGCCACTGCCCTCTAGCCTTGATAACGTGGTGAGACCCTGTCTCTTAAAAAAAATAATAAAAATTAATTAAAAAGCTGCCATTTTCTTCAAGTAGCATTCAGTGTTTTAAATGAACATGGATTAGTTATTGATGATCTGGTGGAAGATATTTAATAAAAGTCAGTCAACAGTATGAACAATTCACATGATTATTCTACATAGTAAGGCCCTGTTGAATCCTTGTGAATGAATAATTAAGTAGCCATATTAACTATGCTTTATTGATTTGAGACTTGACGGCCAGGCGAGGTGGCTCACGCCTGTAATCCTAGCACTCTGGGAGGCCGGGATGGGAGGATCCCTTGAGTTCAGGAGTTCAAGACCAGTCTGGGCCGGGCGCGGTGGCTCACGCCTGTAATCCTAGCTCTCTGGGAGGCCAAGGC